AGCGCCACAATAAGGCGGCAAAGGCGGTGGCCGAACCAGTGGAGAACACCGCGCGCATGGAGGCCACGACGCTCGCGGGCTGCGTATTGCAGCAAGTGCGGCAACTCGAGAAGATGGGGCCGACGGGCAACTCGCTGGTGGGAGCGCGTGCCGAATCTGACGGGTTGCGCTCCGTAGTCGGGGCCGCCGACGTCTCCGTGGCCAGGGGGCTGCGCTGGGAAGGGAACGCCTACAACGTGGGCCAGGTGGTTCGCTCGCGCGGCGGCGAGGTGTTTATCATCGACGCGTGCGCGGAGATTTCTGGCGAACTGCACATCGTCGCCCGCGGGAATTGAGATCTCAACGGGCGCGCGCGGCCTCAGCACTGGCAGCGTGGTGGACGAGCTCCTCGTCATCAAGATGTCCGACGCTGACCTGGATGGCGCTGTCTGGGCGTGGCGCGTGAAGAGCAACGGTGACTATGTCATCGCGCACGCGCGCTGAGAAACAGATGGAAACATGCGCCGCGCCGCGGTGTGTGTGTGTGTGTGCGGGGAGCGATGTCGATCGCTGGGTGAGGCGATGCGATGTCGATCGCTTGGGTGAGGAGATGAGAGGAGGAGGATGAGGATGAGGATGAGGAGGAGGAGGAGGAGGGGGAGGGAGAAAGCGATGCCGATCGCTGGAAGGAGGGGGGGACGGAAAAGAAAATCGAGCGATGCCGATCGCTGGGTGAGGTGAAGCGACGTCGATCGCTTGAAGGAGGAAGAGGAGGAGGAGGAGGTGGCGGAGGAGGGAGGATAGCGATATCGATCGCTGGAAGATGGGCGGGGGGTGGGAGGAGGAAAATAAGATCACTGCGCGCAGCGCGCAACCGTTCAGCTTTGGCGCGCTGCTGCCCCTTGGGCTCGCGCGGGGCAGGCGCGATGCTGCCCCTGGCGGCCGCGCGCAAGCGCGCCTCGAGCTGGCCGAAGGCGGCCGCGCACGACGACGAGACGACGACGACGATGCGACGACGGCGACGAAGACGGCGACGAATGAGGCGAGCTTGCCCGAGCGGCTGCTCGGGGAGGTGGAGCAGCTGCGCGGGGAGGTCGAGCAGCTGCGCGCGGCGAACGCCCAGCTGCGGGCGGAGAAGGAGGAGGCGGATAATACGACGACGACGACGACGAGACGACGACGAGACGACGACGACGACGACGACGACGACGACGACGACGGTGGCGGCGACGACGACGGCGGCGGCGGCGGCGACGACGACGACGACGACCCCCCCAGGTGGCGCGGCACTTGGCCCTCCAGATCGACATGCGCGACGTCGAGCTGGATCGGGCCGCCGAGCTGCTGGGCGTCGCGCGCCGCCGCGCCGCGGTGCATGCGGCGGCGCTGGCGCAGCTCAAGCAGGACGCGATGACGATCATCCGCCTGCAGAGGCTGTGCGACGCCCCCGAGGCGGAGGCGGCCGTGGCGTCGGGCGGTGGTCATGGCCGACGCCCTGACGAAGCCGCCTCCGCCGCCGTGGCCCCCCCGTGAGGAGGGGCTCACGGGCGGCGACGGGCGCCCAGGGTCGTCCACGGACGCCCTGACTGAGCCGCCCCCGCCGCCGCGGCCTGCGCCCCCGCAGTGAGGCGGCGCGAGGCTGCGCGCGCCAACAAGAAGCTTGGGGGGGGATATCGATGTCGATCGCTTGGGGGAGGTAGCGATGGCGATCGCTTGGAGGAGGAGGAGGAGGAGGAGGAGGAGGAGGAGGAGCAGGAGGAGCAGGAGCAGGAGGAGCAGGAGCAGGAGGATGAGGAGGAGCAGGATCTGCATGGGCAGCCAGGGGGCTGCGGAGGGAGGAGGAGGAGTAGCGATGCCGATCGCGATGTGCATGGGCAGCCAGTGGGGCCGCGGGATTTGCATAGGCAGCCAGGGGGGCTCGCGATCTCGATCGCCGCGAGGAGGAGGAGGAGGAGGAGGATGAGGAGCAAGAGAGCGATGCCGATCGCTGGGGGAGGCGAAGCGATGTCGATCGCTTGGAAGGGGGAGGAGGCAGGAGAAGGAGGAAGAGGAGGATGACGATGATGAGGAGGAGGAGAGCGATGTCGATCGCTCGGGCGCGGGTGGGAATATGGGTGGAGCGATGGCGATCGCTCGGGCGGGCGTTGGCGACGATGGGCTCGCGATGACGGCGATTGCTCAGCCGTTTCGGCTCGCCTCGCGAGTGACGCACGGGGCGCTCGCGGCCAAGCGACGGCGCGCGCGCGCAGGAGGGGGCGCGTCATGGACGATCTCCCCTCGGAACCGCTGCCACCTGGGCTGGTCGGCGCGAAGCCGTCCAGTGCCCCGCTGCCGCGAGGCGGCCCGTGGCCGAATATGGCCAACGCGAAGTTCTTCAAGATGCCGTCGCCCGCCGCTTTCGCTGCGGCCACCTCCAAGGACGCGGCGCCGCCGCCGCCACCCAAGCGGCCGCGCCTCGAGGTTGCAGCCGTCGGCCGAGAGGGAGCCTCAGGCGGCTCCAACAGCAGGCCGAGCTGCAGGCGTTGAGCGAGGCGGAGGCGATCTGCTTGGCCGCCTTCCGCGACGGGCAGGGCGGCGAGGCGGCCCCTGAGGGTGAGCCCCCTGCGCGGTGAGGAGGCCGCGCGTACACTGAGGACGCGGCCGCGCGCGGTGAGGAGGCCGCGCGCCCCGCCGCGCTCATCACTCTCCTCCCCCCCTCCCCCCCCTCACAGCGATCGACATCGCTCTCCTCCTCCTCCTCCTCCCAAGCGATCGCGATCGCTTCATTTCCCTAAGTAACTTGTAAGTATCTTATAGTGTTAGCTTAAGTAACTTAATAACATCAACTTAAGTTACTTATAAGTATCTTAGTAAGTACCCATAAGTAGCTCATGTAAGTAGCTATGTTACTTGCGATACTTATACATAGGGTGCAACTAGCATAAGAGCCACCATTCTCGAAGCAAGGTGACCGGCCTGGAGCACGCCTCGAAAAAAAACGCCCAGGCGCCCGTGGATCCAGCGGAAGTCAGCTGGAAGTCAGCGCCCACGAAGTTACGAGCCCGGCCAAAGCCGTCCCGCATTGGCAGGCGCGCACGGTCGCAGGAGAGGCAGATGCCCAGCGCGGCCTCGAAGATATCGCCAAAGTGGCCGGGGCTACCGCAGGGAGCCAAGTTGGGCCTGGGCTACCTGATGAGGAGGAGCATCAGTGCCAGGGTGGTGTTCGCCCTTGCGCGCTGGATGGCGGCCCCGCAGCTATCCCGGAGCAGGCTGCAGGGCCGCTCCCGTTGATCGGTGAGGGCCGCTGGGTATGGCAGAGTGGGGGCGCCCTGACTGCGAGTGCACGCGCATGTGCTAGCACTCCGCACCGCGGGGGGATGTCTGGTTGCGCATGTGGGCATGTGGTCAGCGCCCCAGTTCTGTCGAGATTCAGATCTCCCTCCCGACGCGGGGGGGGGAGCAGTCTTCTTCAATGGCTCGGTCGGAAGCTGCGCTAAGGTGGAGCCCGACCACGCGCAGTAGGCCTGCCCAGGCCGCTGTGCACACGAGGTTGGAGGCGTCGATGCCCAGCTCGCGGTCGCACAGGTAGCCGTCGTGGCTGACCAACTTGCGGCACTGCTCGTAGAGATCTGTCGGAGTCCCCTGGGCCATACATGCATGGGACGCATGCCATGCACGTAGCACAAGACCAGTGTCAGAGCCGGGTCGCACAGGACCGCCGTGGCCGTTTCCAGCAATTCCTCGCTCAGACTTTCCCAGCTGTGTCCCAGACGGAGCAGGGAGTCATACAGCGCCTTAAAGCATTGGGCTCGCTGCTCGGCTGGTCGCTGAGGCTCCTTGTTGTCCCTGCGGCGCTTTTGTTAAGTTTGTACGTCCAGGGAGGGGAGCGGCGGTTGCGTGCCCATTGACGCCTTCCGCACTTGGGCAGGTGAGAAGCTATCGGATTCATTCAGCGCGCGCTGTGCTGCCCCAGGGTACCCTCGAAGCTGGTCCAAAGACTGGCGGCTCCCGCACTCTCTGCAAAGAGATATAACTGGGACTCGGAGGCAGCGGCGGCCATCTGGGTGGGCGTTTAGCATGACGACTACTCATCCCAGCGCCCTTGTACGGGCAACATTGATGCGATGGGGGTCGTCGATGAAGCACCACTGTCCGGTGGAGTTTGCGCGGGTGGTGCTGAGGATCACCAAATGCGCCTCGTCGCGTTGGCTGCCGTCGATGGTGGACACGCTGAGGAGGCCCCCGCCGACCAAGCAAAGGCACCTTGCTTCTATGCCACTTAAAGAAAGCTGGAAACCATCAAGTTCCGTGGCGGGACCGCGTTTGAATACACTGCCCGAAGGGGGGGGACGCTGCCCTTGGAAGCACGTTTGCCAGGGCGCCCTTGGGGGGTGGAGGTTCTGGACTGTGTCGGTGTGCCCCGCCCGGCGGCCTTACCCTTACCTTTTTTACCCTTCTCCTGGTAGGCGCTGAAAAAGGCGCCGCGGTCGACAGGCCAGCCAGCTTTGATTAAGGCCACCTGCGCACGGCATCCACCAACAACCAGAACACGCTTGCCTGTTTTCAGGAGGTGCTCCTCCACGGACTTGACGATGTAGCTAACGGTGGCCACTTCCCTCAATCTGGCTGTGCCTTCCGCGCGGGAGTGGCAGCCCCGCAGCTTTCTCATGAACCCCAAAAAAACGGATACGGTCCCCTGGTTGGGTTCCGTGTTGGGCGTTGCACCAACACACACACACACACACACACACGCACGCACGCACGCACGCACGCGCACACACACACACACACACACACACACACACACACACACACACACACGCACGCACGCACGCACGCACGCACGCACGCACGCACGCACGCACGCACGCACGCACGCACGCACGCACGCACGCACGCACGCACGCAAGCACACACACACACACACACACACACACACACACACACACACACACACACACACACACACACACACGCACACGCGAGCAACTAGAAGGGGCGTTGAAGAGGGACCCCCAGGCTTGACCAGCCCGCCCCCCTTCCTCGTAGGGCACGCGCCGCTCGCCCCGCGACAGGGCCGAGAACACCGAGAGGAGCGCGGAGTAGGACGCCGCTGCTTCGGGGCCTCGGGTCAGCATGGCCCAGGGAGGCGAACGGGAAAGCCACAGCATGATTCTACGAGAAGATGTCAACACAGCTTCCCTTTTATCCCCCTTTTCTTCCTCCCCATCCTCCTCCTCCTCCCCCTCCCTCCTCCCTTCCTCCCTTTCCTTCCTCCCTCCTCCTCCTCCTCCTCCTCCTCCTCCTCCTCCTCCTCCTCCTCCTCCTCCTCCTCCATCCTCCCTCTCTTCCTCCCTTTCCCCCTCCTCCTCATCCTCCTCCTCCTCCGCATCCGCCTCCTCCCCCGCCTCCTCCTCCACCTCCTCCTCCTCCTCCTCCACCTCCTCCTCCTCCTCCTCTTCCTCCTCCTCCTCCTCCTCCTCTCAAGCCCGTCCGATCTCTCCGATGTTAACTTGCCGTGATACCATGTATCACCCCCACTCACCTTCCTCCTGCAACGGACTGTCCTGCACCACACCTGGAGTCACGGGTGTTGGGTCGGCCCTCGCCTCGGCCTCACCCAGTATACGCCCATGTTGTGTACCATGTGCAGAGGTGCCCTACACATCTGACGAAATGCCGCAACGGCGGCCGACCGAACGACCGGCAAAACTGCACTGCACAAGGCGCGCGAAGCGGGGAGCAGCCACAGGAGACAAGGCGAGCTTGGCATGAAAACAATCGGATGGCCAGGACCCGCGCGGGGCGAGCTAGTAGGAAGGCGCCGAGGGAAACAAACAACAAATCAGCCGACACCGCTTGTCGGGGGTGAAAAGGCGTGCGAGACACTTGGCTGCTCCCACTCCCCATTTCCCCTTCCCCCTGGGCCCAAAATCAGTTTCAGGGGGGGGGGGGGGGGGGGGGGCGGCCTTGGTTCTCGTCAACGAGCCCCCAGGGCCTCTGGCGCCTCGAATTCTACATTACGTTCCGTGGCCTCCACGATGCCCAAGATGCCATCTACTCTGGTTCACGCTGCGTTCCAAGACGCCGAGGAGTGCCCGAAAAGCCTCCGAGACGCCCCAAGAGGGCCCCAAGAAGACCCCCAAGAGGACCCCCAACACGGCCCCCAAGAGGGCCCCAATGGGCAAAAAACACAAGTTCCCTTTGAGAAAACGTATGACTATGTTCAGCAGATTCGCTTCTTCTGTCTAAACAGCGTGCAAGACGGCTCCAGAAGCGTCCACACATGTTCCAAGATGGCCCAAGAGACCCCCAAGAAAGCCCGAAGACAGCCCGAAAGGTCCACATTGCGGTCCAAGAGGGCGCAAACCAGGCCGCAAAAAGACCAAAGAGGGGCAACTTAAGCTGATATATCCAGTCCTCCGCCCCAAGAGAGCCACCGAGACCACCAGCAGTAGCTCAATAATCCCCCAAGAGGCCCTCAAGAAGCCCAAGCCAGGCCGCCAGAGGCCGCCAGACGGTCCCCCAAAAGCTCCCAACGGTCTCCAGAAAGACCCCCAAACAGTCCCCCAAAAACCTCACAACCACCACAACCATGAACTTCTGACCTCTGCTCGGGGTCGGCGGAATGGCGTCAGCCTCTTGGATCCGCCGACCCCTTGGGGTCACAACGTGTGAGATGCTTCCCCCTCCCCAAACCCCTCCCCGGGGGGCCTGGCCCGGCCGGTTTGGAGGGGGGGGGAGGCAAAGCCGTCATCCGCACACTTGGAGCCTCAGGAGGCCCCAAAACGGACCAAGAAGTTTCCAAAGGTTCCTGGAACGGTCCAAGAGAACTACGAATCTACGAGAGAACACCCCAAAACGCCAAAAATTGCCTCCACGCGGCTCCATAAGTCCACAAGACTTTTGAAACAACATCACCAGGCGCCCCAAAGAGGCCCTCCAGAAGCAAAATTCCTCCCATTCCACCAGGAAAACGTGCACATTGACCACATTCGCCCATTCGGCTTCCACGCGGCGCAAAACGGCCCAAGAAGCCTCCAATATCGACCCCCGCCAGCCCAAGAGGCCCCCAAAGAGGCTCCAAGACAGCTTCCGGGCGATCCACGAAGGCTCCAGAAACCATGGCAACGGCCCAGGAAAGCCGCAGGACGGTCCCAAGAGGGCTCCAAAACGGGCCAAGAGGGCAAGGCTGCACGGACGGCCCACGCGGGGGACGGTTCGGTCCAAACCGCCCAAAATCGCCGCCAGACGGCCCCATGGGTGTCCAAAACGTTTGCATACGCGACCACGAGGCGCTCCCACAAGGCCTCCAGAAGCAAAGACCGTCCGATTCCCCAGGTAACACGTGCATGTTCAGCAGATTCGCTTCTTGGCATTTCGCGAGGCCCACAACGGCCCAGTAAACCTCCAAGATCGACCTCTGTCACCCGAAAAAACTCCCAAGAAAGCTCCAAGACGGCTTCCAGGCGATCCGCGAAGGCTCCAGAAACCATAGCGACGGCCCACAAAGGACGCCGGACGGCCCCAAGAGGGCTTCAAAACGGGCCACAGAGGGTTCCCAAAAGCTGTCCGGACGGCTCAGGCGGGGCACGATTCGGTCCAAACCGCCCAAGATTGCATCCAGACAACCCCATACGCGACCACGAGGCGTTCCAAGCAGGCCTCCTGAAGCAAAAATCATATTTCCTAAGGTATAACGTATATTCTCAGCATGTTCGCTTCTCGGGCTTCCACGAGGTCCACAACGGCCCCGTAAACCTCCAATATCTACCTCTGGCACCCCAGAGACTCTCCAAAAGTTTCCACGACGGCCTCCCAGCGCCCCACGAAGGCCCCAGAAACCATAGCAACGGCCCAGGGGAACGGCAGGGCGGTCCTAAGAGGGCTCCAAAACGTGTCTAAAGGGACCTCACAGGTTGTCCGGACAAGCCACGCGGGGGACGATTGCTGCCGCCCCCAGGGGTCGGCGATGTAGCGTAAGCCAATGAATCCACGTCCGGAGGTGACGTGCTGAGCGGCAGCGTTTTTCGGCGAACGCTTTAATGCAACGTATCCAATGTATCCAAAGATTCCACAATTGCAACTTATTGTACTGTGTTACATTATTATGTTTCCCCCCCTACCCCCCCCTGGGAGCCGCGCCACAACGCCGTACCAAAATGGTCGGCCCCTTCCTGGGGCCCTAAAACCTACAAGAACCTATGGAAAGAAACATATAAATCTGACGTTTGGGCCTCTGGGGACCCCAAGAAGACCTCAAGATGGCCCAAGGTGGCCCCAAGACGGCCCAAGATATTCCCAACGGGGGCCCATGAGCCCCCAAGACGGCCCCAAGAGGGCCCCCAAAACCCCAAGGACGGCCCAAGAGGGCCCCAAGAGCGCCCACAACTGCGCCTCCACAGGCCGAAATCATTGATTGTCCTATGATTTGTTCAATATCTTAGCGTTCTCGCCTTCTTCGACTCTCAAGAATCCATGACGGCCCAAGCAGCTTCCAGAATCGCCCCAGAACAACCCAAAAAGCTCCAAAGAGGGTGCCAAGACGGCCCAAGAGGGCCCCAAAACGGCCCAAAGAGGCCCCCAAGACGGTCCAAGAGGCCGCGAAGACGGCCCAAGAGGACCCCAAGAGGGCTCCAATGCGGCCGCGAGAGGCCCCCAAGACAGCCTCCGAGGGGGCGAAACGGTGCAAAAGCGCCCCAAGACGCCCAAGACGCCCCCAAGAGCCACAAGAGGTCCCCAAAAAGCCTCCAAGAAGTCCCCCAGAAGCAAAAGGCCCCCCCAACAAACCCAAAGGCCACACAGCGACTGGAGTGTAATGTTATGTTCCCCCCTCTGGGCGAACTGCGGCGCAACGCCAGCCAAGTGGAAATTGGTCACTGCGGCGCCCATGATTAGAGCCGGCGCTGGAAGGGAAGACGGGGAGGGTGTATGAAAAGGAGGGGGGAAAAAGGCCCCAAAGAAGTCCCCAAGAGGCCTAAAGAAACTCCCAGGAGGCCTCCAGGAGGCCCCCAAGGGGCTCCAAAAAGGCCCTGCGACGACATGACTGTACGTGCTCCGGACGTGCACCCCGCGAAGCGAGAGGAATCAATAGAAACAGATCCCAGGATCCCCCAGAATAATCATATTTCAACACATGTTCAGGATGTTCGTCGTTCCCCCCATTTGCCCATGTGTTCCCACATTCCCCTGGAAGTTTCGAGGTTCATTCGTGTCTGTGTGTGTGCTCGTTCCCCCACTGATATGTGATACAGGTCCGACCAGCGAGTCAGCAGGTTTGGCCACAGCTGCCGCGCAGCAAGAGGCTGCCGCTCGGACGCCCCCTTCGGGCGCAGCAGGGCCGCGCCGGAGCCCAAAACCGGTGGCCAAAGCCCCTCTGGCACAGCCGGACCTGTGCCATATCGGAACCCGAGCCACCTCCACCGTTGGGAGCCTCCTCCTCCCCCTCATCCTCCTCCCCCTCCTCCCCCTCCTCCTCCTCCCCATCCTCATCCTCCTCCTCCTCCTCCACCTCCTCGTTTCCCTCATCCTTTACTCTCTCTCCCCCCCCTGACCTTCTCCCTGCCCCTGCATCTCGCCACAGCTACCGGAGCAGGCACAACACCCATGCAGGCACCCTGTGCAGTTCTCTATGCACTCTCCATCGTTAATGTTCTTGTTCGGCCTTTTTCGCTCTCTCTCTCTCTCACTCGTTCTCTCTCTCTCTCTCTCTCTCTGCCGCCATGCATGTTTCTCTCTCACCATCTCTCTTACCCTCACTCTCTCACTCCCTCCCTCGCCGTCTCTGTCTCTGTATCTCTCTCTCTCGCTCTTCTCTCTCCCTCCCTCCGGCAACGACAGGCGAGAATTCCACCCTGTCCACATGACCCCGAGAGAGGGTCCAGCGGCACTGGCCATGGCCGGAAGGAGGTGACCCTGCTCCCGCGTGCCTGGAAAATTCGGCGCACGTGGCGCAAGCACTGCCGCCTTCTGGTCACCGAGAAGCTCCTGGATGGCGACTCGCTGCCCCATGCCTCAGAGATCCTGACCTTGCAGGCCAGCTTCATTCACACTTTGGAGCACCACGGCATGGAGGCGCGACCCGAGCGTGACCCTTGGCAGCCTGGCTGCGCGCACCGCGCCCCCCGCGAGATGCGCGACGCGCCACACCAGGTGCGCCCCCGCGCCCTCGCAACGCTCCGCTGGAGGAGGGCAACGACTCGGGCCCAGACCGCGACGCGTGACACGCGACTATCCTGAAGTCGGGCGTGTCCCCCTACAGGGGGATCTTCGACGAAAAATAAAAAAAATACTAGAAAGATGCTCCAAAATGGTAGGGATGCACTTCTTGAACATTCCCCCTGTAGAGGGACAGGCCCGACTTGAGACTATCCTCGCACACCCGCGGGCTTAACGGGCCCTGGAAACGACAGGGCCGTTTTTTTACCGGTTCCGTTTTGCCGTTTTGTTACCGGTTCCGACGCCGTTGTTTACCGGTTCCGTCGCCGTTGTTTTACCGGTTCCGGCTCCGGTTCCAATCCTGGAGCCGTTCTTTTGCTGTTTCCGGTCGCCGTTTTTTTGCCGTTCCCAGTTTCAAGGGACATTTTATCTGGAAACGGTGAAAAAACCCGCCCTGCCGTTTCCGGGGCCCACAAAGCCCGCGGGTGACCCAGGCGATCTGCAAGATCCCTGCTCGGCATACTGGGATGGGCGGGAGGGTTGCTAAGAGGATAGGGGGGTTATCAGTGGACGCCAAAGGGGTTACACCTGACCTAATCTAGCTTTTAAGCGGGTTACACATGCCCCAAGTGGCTTGGGGGGGATAGCGATCCAGGCTAAGTGGGCTCCACCCACTTAGCGGAGTTGTCGAATCCCCCTAAAACACTTGGGGCATGTGTAACCCACTTATAAGCTAGGTTAGGCCAGGTATAACCCCTTTGGCATCCACTGATAACCCCCCTATCCCCTTATCACCCCCCCCGCCCATGCCAGTAGGAGCAGCGCCCCTCCAGTGCAGCCCAGCGGGCGCGCGCGCCCCGGGTGCGAAAAAGGCGGCCCCGCCAGCGCCTCGCGCGACCCGTGCCCTCTGCTCTGCCGCGCGGACCTCAGCGAGGGGTCAGCCGCAGCCCTGTTGGACCAGCAGACTGTGCTCGGAGGCCTGGAAAGGGGCACCAACACCAAGCCACGGGGCTGCGCTGCCTCCACAGGGTGGAGACGATCCCAGAATTCGGTGCTGGTGATAATAGTTCGGTCGCCTTGGAAGCCAGAACATTACTACCATCACCGAGATCGGGATTTTCTTCCCTCGGTGGAGGAACGCCGCCGATCTTGGTGTTGGTGCCAACCTCTAGGCCTGCGATGTGCCAGAAGAGTGGCAGGGCCTCCCCCCGTTGCAGCTCGTCCGAACTCTCAAGGCAACCGATGGGAGACACTCCTGGTGCAGACGCCACCAGGAAGCGCGGCTCGTACCGCTGCTGTCGCACCGCCTGGCCTTCCTGAGAGCCGGCGCTGCGAAGCAATGGCAAGATCGCGCAAAAAACACCTCTGGAGCACCAGACCCACTCTTCCTGCACCATGCTTGGAGCCGGATCGATCTGTGATGGTTCCGAGGGCCCGAGAACGGGGGAAGACCGGAGAAGACTGCCAACGCGAAAAAATATGCACCTCCTAAGTCTCGGGGCTCAAGTGGGCGATCGACTACAGAATTGATTCACTCCAAAACTGTTTGTGTGCGTCGAGGATGTGCGTAGATCTACGGGCATCCGTCGAATTTGTTTGAGACTCGACGAACTTTGCAAATCTGGGGTGACTCAATTCGGGGATCTACCCTGGTCAATCCAAACCCGGGTCAGTCACACTTTGCGAGATGCGGCGGAATCCTGCAATATCCTGCGCCCAAGCCTGATCTGCAAACCCGGCCCTGCAGGATCCTGCAAGGTCTGACGCTCTGACCGACTCGCGTTTGCATTGACCCCCGTCGCGTACCCCCCGATCAATTCTGCAGTCGATCTCCTACCCGAAGGGGTGCAGCACCGCGCTGCGAGAGGCCGGCAGCGTCACCTTCGACCTGCCCGGCCGCTCAGCGTGCCCCCGAGGAGCTGGCCATCCCTCCTCGCCATCGCTCGGGCGCCCGTTCCCCGTGTGTGTTTTCAATGTCGTGCGTTTATGTGTTCGTGAGATGGTCCAAGATGCTCCTCGATGGTCCTAACCGAGGAGAGTGCACACGTGCGAGCGACGCCAAGCCTCACTCTATAGAGGAGCTAGAAGCGCCATCCGCATGGACAGAATAAGCCCCCTAGAACATGAGACCCTCCGCCAGCCAAACTGAAGAGCGTTCGAGGGTGCCCCCCCGGTGCAGATGAACATCCAGCAAGCATGCAGAGCATCAGGGTGCCCTCCCCGAACCGACCTCGATCTTGTACCTCGGTCCGACCGCATGGAGGAGCAAGAAGCGGCATCGACATGAACTTTCGGAGGTCCGCGCGGATTCGCTATCGGAGGCCTATCACCGATCCATCGGTGACGCATCGCCGATTCCGGCTCGACGTCTCCCCCCCCACCCCGAAAGCGATTCCCCCCAAAGCGTACCCCATTGTCGAGGAGCAAAAAACGGCACCGACCTGGACTTTGGAAGGTTCGCGCGGATGTCTTGAATCGGCGCTGTACCTCCCTCCCTGACGCGTCTCCCCGCCAAGGGGCGGCGCCGGAGGCGCCGCGTCTCGAAGTGGCTTCGAAGTCTGCCGAATATTACCTTCGCACCCTTACTGTCAACAAACACTGCTCCTGGCATAAATTTGGCTCTGAGTGGTTGCCGTCGTTGTCTCTGGCGCTTGCTGAGGGTCTGGACTTTCTGTGGCTCCGACTGGCCAGCGTAGATGAGCAACATCGGACGCAGGTGGGGCATTTGAACCGACCACCCGAAAAGCTCTGGCAACCACTATCATGCTGTGATCGCGCTAGCGATGACAATCGAGGTAACTTCTTCGGGCTAGTTTCTGGGAGGGGATTTTAAAAAGAGCGATACCGCAGCTACTCCTGGGACCGCTCCCGGGGTGCGTTCTGACCAAAAATCCAGCACAAGGGCTCTCCAAGACGAGCAGCGGTATCACTATCTCGCCCTCCCCTGGCCTACGCGGACTTCTTGGATCTGCGCTGAGCCACCCCACGGGGCGGCGCCGGAGGCGCGCCAGGGCATTCAAGCGCAGATCCAGGACATCCGCGCGGTGCTCCGAAACTTCATGATTGTGCAGCATTTTCTTCGATGCTGTCAACTTGGGGGCGGCCGGGGGTCTGAACTGGCTGGGACCCCAGAAAATCGGTTAGAAGAGGGGGGGTGAAGCCAAATCCGCTTAGAATCGGTCCCTGGACCCCTCCTGGGGTCCTTGTGCAGTTGTTCACCCCAGATCCGTGCTTCACGGTCCCGCGGCCCAAACGAAAACGCAGACAAAAAGCCCTCCCGAATTCAAAACATCGAACCTGTCCGCCCTTCGTGCTGGCCGGGACCAGTGCTGGGCCACCACAGACCCCCAGACAGCACCAACGCTTAACTACGCTTTCGACTGCGCAGCGAGCGGCCCCAAGCCACGCGCCCTCCCAGCAGCAACCTGCGGTGAGGGCCGAGGCCGCGGCCGGCGCAGCGCCCGCAGCCGGCGAGATCTGCCAGCACCAGCTTGCCACTGGTTATGGCGCCAGTGGCCACGCTGAGGCGCGACAGGTTGAGGATCAGCACCTGGGCGACAAAAACAATCCTCCTCCCCAAACTCCTCATCCGCCTCCTCCAGCCTCCTCCTCCTCCTCCTCCTCCTCCTCCTCCTCCTCCTCCTCCTCCTCCTCCTCCTCCTCCTCCGCATCCGCATCCGCATCCGCATCCTCCTCCTCCGCCTCCTCCAGCCTCCATGCCTTCTCCTCATAAATAACTTCTCACTGTCGCACCCCGAGGCCAGTTTGTAGGCGGGCCAGGCGTATGACCCTGAAGCTTCAAAATCAACAACAATTTCACAGATGGAGGGCGGGTGGTTTTCAAAATGAGGCTCTCGCCGAAGCGCCGCGCACATCCGTTTCCAAAATTTGCAAGAGCTTCACAGATGGAGGGCGGGTGGTTTTCAAAATGTGGCTCTTGCCGTAGCGCCGTGCACATTCGTTTCCACAATTTGCAAGAGCTTTACAGATGGAGGGCGGGTGGTGTTAAAAATGTGACTCTCGCCTTAGCGCCACGCACATGAGTTTGAAAACATGCAAGAGTTTCACGGATTGAGGGCGGTTCCTTTTCAAAATGTGGCTCTCGCCTTAGCGCCGCGCACATTCGTGTTAAATGCAAAAGGTTGCACGGATTCCCATGGTCGACGTGCCAGAAACTGTTCTTTGGAAGGATTCATGATTATGAGGGCGCAAAAGATACGATGATTCGCGGTGTTGAAATCCCAGGCATGGCGCTCTGGCACGATTCTGGATCGTCAAGACGCAACAGTCAGGTTAGTCCGTGGCGTTTGAACCCCGAGAACGATGCTTTGATATGCTTCAGGGTCTTCAAACGATTGTTGTCCAACAGGGCAGGCCCCTCTGTGGCCTATGAAGGAGCTTCGGGGGAGGTGTCATTACAACATCGTTGGTGACTCTTGAGTTTACGCTGGTCCTCCTCCCCTTCCTCCTCCTACACCTCTTCCTCCTCCTCCTCCTATATAATCATCATCATCATCATCATCATCATCATCATCAGCATCATCAGCATCATCATCATCATCATCATCATCATCATCATCAGCTTCATTAACTTCATCAGCTTCATCTTCATCATCATCATCATCAACATCATCATCATCAGCAGCATCATCATCATCACCATCAGCATCACCATCATCATCATCATCATCGTCATCGTCGTCATCATCCTGATCATCATCATCAGCATCATCAGCATCATCGTCATCATCGTCATCATTATTATGATCAGGGGCAGCATCATCATCACCATCACCACAACAACCACCACGATCACCATCGTCATCATCAACATCATAATATGCAGCATCATCATCATCCGCATAAGCGTCAGCACCATCATCGTCACCACCTCATCGTCATCATCAGCATCAGCATCATCATCATCATCATCATCATCATCATCATCCTCATCATCATCATCATCATCATCATCATCGTCGTCGTCGTCGTCGTCGTCGTCATCATCCTCTCACATCCTTCCCATGACTTCCTCCTCGTTCGACTCCTCGGCATCCTCTTTCACCACGCGGGAACCTTACGCTGGAAGCTTACGCTGGAGGCTTCAGCGACAGGCTGAGGATCAACACCCGAGCGACGGCAAAAGGGGGTCTTACGCGAGGTGGCGAGCGATCTTGCGCCGCGGCTTACGCGGGCCGCCAGCGGGGCACACCAATTTGCAATCGAAGATACTTACGCGGGGCATTACGCGGGAAGCTTACGCGCCAGTGTCGGGTTCAATCGAACCCGCCTTTCTGCGTCGCTCACATGGGACGCTCCCCCCACACAAGAGCATCTTTCTCGGGGAGGCGTAATCGAGGAATCAACACCAGCATAATCATGAACCCTCTGAGGCCCGCGCGGGCTTCATAGATCTGCGCGAGCCCCTGCAGAGGCCGCGACCTGTGGCCTGGGCAGGCCTGCCCAAAGAATCATCAGAACGACCGCCCCCGACACGGCCCGCTGAGGCCCTGCCCGACGCCCAGGCTCACTGCAGGGCGCTCTGCCTGGCAGGGCGCCAGCTTTGAATTCCGTTTTGCCTTGAACGCTGCGCTTGGCACCCTCAGAAGAGAATCGCCCAACGCAGCGGCCAGGCGATGCCCGCGACGCCACCTGCCCCTTAAGAAACGTCTACCACCTCGGCGCCCTCGAAAACGGAACGCCGACGTCGACCTCTGGCCACGCTCACGAATCCAGCCGCGGCGGTGAGCCCACGCAACATGGGTTACCCCAGGAACGGGTCGGAGATGCTTCGCAAATATGTTGTAGATGTTCTGTAGATGTGTTCGCCCACCAAAAATGTTTCGTAGACTTTCGTAGATGTGATGCGGATGTTTTCGCACCCCCGGAGATGTGTCGTAGATGTTTCGTAGATGTATCGTCGATATCTGGAGGTGGTTTCGCACCCTGGAGATCTTTCGAGGATGTTGAAGATGTCTTCGCCCCCGGGAGACGTGTCGTCAATGATTCGTAGATGTAATGTAGATGGTTCGGCACCATGGGGATGATTCGCAAATGTGCAAGAGGTTTTATTAATGTGTTCGGGCGATGTTCGGCCCGCAAACGGAATCGGGCCCGCGTCGCCACCATGGTCTTGCATTATATATTACAAGATATCAGGCGAGGCTCGCTCCGCGAGCGAAAACGGGCTTGAGACCGCATCGTGTTCGACTCCGCGGAGGCGCGTCGGAGATGCCTCGTAAATGTTTCACAATTGTTCTGCAATGTGTCGGAGATGTTCCGGAAATGCAGTGCCACGTGCGCGACGACACTAACCTGCCTACCTCCTCCCCCCGTCATCATCCCTCCTCCCTCCCTCCCTCACTCCCCCCTCCTCCCCTCCCTCCTCTCCTTCCCCCTCCTCATCCATCCTCCCCATTTCTCCCTCCCCACTCCTCCCCTCCCTCCTCTCCTTCCCCCTCCTCATAACTCCTCCCCTCCCGCCCTCCTTGTCGCCCCTCCCAACACCCGTCTACCGCTGCGCCAGATCAAACCACCAAACCACTCGATCCGCCCACCGCACGTCTCCAGGTCAACCCTGCCCGAATTAAAACTGGACGGCCCACAAGTCGCGGCCTTGGCATGAGCCCCCCTCCCTTGCACGCGGAGCGCGGCAGGGGCGGCGCCAGAGGCGCCGCGCCAGAGAGGTCCAGCGCAGACCCAAGAACTCCGCGCGGAGCTCCGACAGATTATGGTTATGCAGTTTTCTCTTCATCGAACACATGCGCATCCTCCTCGGGGAGAGGTAAGACCCGAGTTGTGAAAACTCGAAATCGTCTGATGTGATCGTCAGGACACGGCGGGACCTCATCTGAAATGTGACGCGAACTCACGTTGCAAACATGTCACGGCAACTGGATCGTAACAAACCACATCGGGACCGTCAAAAAGCGGCGGCAAACCCGCCCTAGCAAACTCGAGCTACGCTCAGGTCGGGCGTGTCCTCCTACAGGCGGATCTTGGGCGAAAACCGAAAAGCGGTCAAACATATGCAAAACATGCAAAAAGAATCACAGAAACATCGTGCCTATCTTTGGACTGTGTTTGACTACTCCTCCCGCAGACGGACGTGCCCGACCGAAGGATGCGCGGACGCGCGCGGCTCCCCTGCCGTGTGCAGCCGCAGGCCCGCCCCCTGCAGACCGAGCAGGCCGGCCGACTGCGGCATGGAGCTGGCATGAGGCCTGTCCTGCCCCCATACAGGGGGATGTTCGACGAAAACTGAACAACTACCCCCAAAATACCCCCAAAGTGTTGAAACATACTACTCCAAAGATAGTCCGCAGACTGTCGTTTTGCCTATCCTGGAGTATTCCTCCTGTAGAGGGATAGGCCCGACTTAAATCTGGCAGGAAACAGGCGGGCCCTCGGGGAAACAGATCCTGGAGCCCAGGGCCTTCCGGCGAGACCAGCAACTCGTCCTGAGCCAGGACTTGAGCAGGGACCGACCGTCCCGACAATCCTGCAGGCCTGCCACGACATGCTCCCAGAATCCGAAAACGTTCTGAGATCCCAGATGATGTTCTTAGAACAGAATGCCGACGTGAACAAACACGAACATGTCAGCTGGACATGTTCTAAGAAGAGTTCGCGCAGACCACACACGGCTCTCAGAACATTACTTGGTGGGCCTATAGGCGAGCCAGGACGCTTCGCCACTGCTTGACGCACCAATATCGGGGAGACGTAAGACCCGGGTGCAGGGGACTCGGAAATCCCCGACGAGGTCGTCAAAAAAATGACGAGGCCGAGCCTGCATTTTGACGAGGCCTCCCGCTGCAGACATCCCACGAAACTCCTACTCGTCAAAATCCGAGTCGCGGTCGTCAAAAAACGATGGCGAACCCGAGTCCTGGCAAACCCGGGTCTTACGCTCCCCCGACAATAACTCTTCCTGAGCCGCTGGGGCCCACGGAGACACCCCCGGTAAGACCAGAAACCGCGAAGCATCTCGGGACGCGCTTCCCACACGGCCAGGCCGCTTCGTGGCGACGGCTGCCCCTCCCCCGTCCTGCGGGAGGCGGCCATCCCCCGCCCCCTCGGGTCTCCAAGGGCAGCTTCATGTGCGCGCTTCACGCCGCGCGAAGCGCGAAGGACTGCGCGCCCTCACGCCGCCCGCCCCTACCCCCCCGCCCAGGGGGAGAAGTGGACGAGAACAACGAAGGGGATGCGAGAACGGCGCCTATGCACCGCACCATGTCTCGGCTGCCTCCAGGCCCCGCGCCAGCGTGGTATGGTGCAAAGGTCTTCGGCTCTGAGGGATCGAGGAACGATGCTCCTTAACTACCACTCCCAAGGTCGAAGATCCACGACGGCTCGGGGGACGCCAAAGCAAGACTGCTCACGGAAGCCGTCCACGGAGGGGAGGAATCGCGCATCGCGACCCTCGTCGACGTTATTGTCGTCGTCGTCGTCGGCAGCGGCGGCGACGGCGGCGGCGTCGTCGGCGTCGGCGTCGGCGTCGGCGGCGGCGGCGGAGGCGACGGCGTCGTCGTCGTCGCCGTCGGCGGCGGCGGCGGCGGCGTCGGCGGCGGCGTCGTCGTCGTCGTCGTCGTCGTCGGCGGCGGCGGCGGCGTCGTCTTCGTCGTGGTCGTGGTCGTCGCCGTCGTCGCCGTCGGCGGCGGCGGCGTCGGCGGCGGCGCCGTCGTCGTCGTCGTCGGCGCCGTCGGCGTCGTGGTGACGGCCCTCGAGCCTCGGAGGGGGGCCGAGCGGTTGAGGGCCGCCGCTCGGCACGCTCCGCCGCCGGGCGCCGGGCTGTCCCGTGGGAGGCCGGCCGGCCCGCGGGCTGGAAGAGGTGGGCAGCAGCACGAAGTTCCACGGGGCCCCACACACACACGAAAAAAAGACACCAATCCCAGGCTTCCCAACATTTTCCCATATGCTCTGAGCTGGCGTCTTACCCGCCCCCCCACTTGCCGCAGCTTCCCATGCTTGCTCCCGGGAGTCGACGATGAATTGCGTCTGTGTGTCTGTGTCCCCTCTGGAGAAGTGGGTTGGCGTTAAGAGTTGTTTGGTCGAAAGGGCCAAGGGGCACACGAATGAATACCCACAGAAATCCCAAGCTTCCCCTACACTTCCCATATTCCGCTGCCCCTCACAGGGGCTCTGAACGCACCCATCGACGAGCCGATGCAGCCCCAACGCAGCGGCAGTGCACCAAAGTGGCCAGCCGGGGAAGGCGTTGTAAGTCGAGCGAGTTTCCCTTGGCCCCCCAAAGAGGAAGGTAGAGGGAAAACAACCGATGGCTGAAGTAGTGAAGTAGGTGGGATGTTTTTCGTTTGACACTGGCTACGATACCGGCGCGAAGTATTGGGACGTCCGAAATGGATTCTCGTCCTCCTCATCCGCCTCCTCCTCCGCCTCCTCCTCCTCCCTACTCCTCCTCCCTCCTCCTCCTCCTCCCTCTTGCTGGCTCTTGCTGATCGGCGCTCGTCGATGCTAAATCGACGCGTATCGACAACTAAACCAACGCTACTTGGCGCTTCATCACCGACTAAAAAACGCTAATCGACGCGACTGCGCTCTGGAGACGGAATTGCGAGTGGATGCAAGGCCCTAACAATTTGTTTCCATCCGAAGCTTTGTTGACGCCAAAGTGTGCTTGTCCACCGAGGCCCATCAACCCGACGCAGGCGGTGCAGCGAGGGGTGACACAGGCGGCGTGCAGTCGGCGGAGCTGAGCGGGGCAATTTTTGTTTGTCGCGGCGGCTCGGCGCCAAGCCGCGGTCGGAGGCAACCGAGGGGCACCACGGGGCCAAATTGGGCGCAGCCGGGAGCGACGGGAGTGCGGGCGGGGGGCGAGGCAGCCGCCAGCGGCGGAGCACGCCCAGAGAACAGAGGTTCTTGCGCGTGTCTGCCAGAGCACAGGGCAAGACACACACGCGCACACATACACGCACGCACGCACACGCACACGCACACGCACACGCACACGCACACGCACACGCACACGCACACGCACACGCACACGCACACGCACACACACACACACACACACACACACACACACACACACACACACACACACACTGGGCTAACACACGTCCTGAGTATCATCGAGCCTCGCCCGTCGCTGCGCACGTGCGCGATGCCAGGTGCTGGCGCTCGGGACGAGGAGGAGACAAGGCCTCCGATCTCAGAGAACGGGACCGAGTGGGTACAGCCCACTGCCTGCCCCCATCGGGGCCGCTGTCGGGAGAATATCTGGGAATGGGAACGGGGTCAGTTCGCGAAGCCAGGCTCGTTGAAGGAATCTGGGCGGGAAGAGGTGGGCAGAAGTCAAGGGGCCCCAGGACACACACATAAATACACACAAATAAAAATATTCTCCATATTTTCTCATATTTTCTGGGTTTTTGTCTGCCCGCCCAATTCCCATATTTTCCCATATTTTCTTGGGGATCGACGATTAATTGTGTCTGTGTGTTTTTTTCCCTCCTGAAGAAGCCCCGTTCGCGGAGGCACGATGCGATCCCCTCTGGCCCACCCGTGATCCTCCTGCGACGCCCGAGCCGCACCAGCCGGCCCCCAGTCGACTCCTCTTCTGCAGGGGAGGAGGAGAGGAGGAGAGGAGGAGGAGAACGACGAGGAGGAGGAGGAGGAGGAGGAGGAGGAGGAGGAGGAGGAGGAGGTAGGGCGATGAGATCTGCACATGCCCACTACCCCTGGTCAGGCCCATCCCGGGAGCAGGATCGGCGCCCACGCCCCCCCCACAGGCTGCGCCACGGGGACACGTTCACGTCGCTCCTGGCCTCCGGGGGAGCCTGGCCAGGGGCACTGGCTATGGATAGACCCCGTCGTCTGGAGGGGAGGAGCGGGTGGAGGTGCATGGGCACAGCCGCTCTAGAAAGCCCCGGTCTTCAGGCCGCGGCTCCTTCTATAGAGCCCCGGTCTTCAGGCCGCGGCTCCTCCCGGGGGGGGCGCTCGCAGGGGCGATGGCGCAACAGGTCTAGGGCTCCTTCCGAGCCGCGGCCGCCGGAAAGTGGGCACCCGCCCTGGCCCCAGGAACGCCAGCAGTGGCAAAAGCAGTCCCCGACGTCCTGGGCGAGCTCCGACCGCTCGGGCGACCAATCGCCCTCCCCGCGGCGGTCCCAGCCCCCGCCCGGCCAGCAAGAGAGAAAAGATGCTGGGCACCGCCCCTGCTCGGGCAGGCCAGCGGAGACGCCCCCACCATGGAACCCTGACTGCCTCCCTGCCCCTGCACACTGCCCCTCTTGGGCGTCCAGTAACGTTTGGGGGCAATACAGCCGGACCTGGGCCAGAAGAAATCCGTCAAGAACACGAGACCCTCCGCCGGCCAACACGCACAAAACATCCTGGGGTACCCTCCCCAGGGTGCACCAGAACGTCCCACAAACACACAGAACACTGGGGCACCCTCCCCGAACCGACCTCGACCATATATATATATATATGTATATGTATGTATGTATGTATATATATATACACATATACATATATATATATTATAAAAAAATTGGTCCGACTGTAAGCGTGGGGTGAACAAGCATGCACCTGTCGTGCACCTCTGGGGCGCTCGGTAGCGGCTTAGGGGCCAATACGGCAACTGTCCTGCAATCTCCGATCCCTCTACGTTGTGCCCTGCTCCGCTGCCCCCCCTCAAAGGCAAGGGGCTCGCCCTGTGGCATTGCCGTGCACTGGCTGATCGCAACGAGCGCGCGTAGCCGTCCTGTGGCGCCCCCCGCTCCCGCACTTCCTAACCTCCTCCCGTTCCTGCCCCTGCTGCTCATACGGGTGAGGAGGAGGAGAAGGAGGAGGAGGAGAAGGAGGAGGAGGAGCAGGAGAGGAGGAGGAGGAGGAGGAGGAGGAGCAGGAGCAGGAGAAGGAGGAGTAGTGACCCCATGAAGCGACGCGCCGAGTGCAGCTCCTCCTCCTCCTCCTCCTCCCCTCCTCCTCCTCCTCCTCCTCCTCCTCCTCCTCCTCCTCCTGCTCCTCCTCCGCCTCTTCCTCCTCCCCCTCCTCCTCCGCCTCTTCCTCCTCCCCCTCCTCGTCCGCCTCTTCCTCCTCATCCTCCTCCTCATCCTCCTCCTTAACTATCAGCACCCCTCTGTGAAAGTCCTTGGCCGCACTGCGTGATTGGCATTGCTGCCGCGTATCTACCATCGGCATTATGACCGAAGGGTGGGGTTTCCACTGAGCTTGCCTGCGTACGGTATTGGAAACACGTTTCTTCTCAAGTCGCCGCACGCGATTCAAATGACCCACGCAGATAAAACAGCAGTCTCATCGTTATGTTGAAACTGTCCAATCGTTCATTCACGCGTTCATTGTCATATGTTTGTTGTGTAGTGTTCTACGACCAAGAACATGCAACTGAAGAATCAAACAGGTGATTGACTTCGTAATTGGTAGCGGAGCATCGATCGGGCCAGTTTCAAGGCTCCTCATACGGACAAGGAGTTCGTGCCAAAGTGGGACGAGGATCCTACCAAGCTGTACGCGATCGGCAAACACGTCAAACTCTTATTTAATGCCCCCGAATTCGCATAAGGGGCCATTGCTACCTGAAACACGTGGGAATTCCCGGAAGTATCCAGAACAACTCAGACTTCTCGAGGCGCCCTCGACGCTGAAGCAATTATGTGCTCCCTTAGGACTCTCTCGGAATACCTTGGCCAGGCTAGAAGCCACTGACCACTTAAAGATGCTACACAGGCCCTCTGTCGACTTTCGAGGCCAGGGGGGCGCCTTCAGATAGCCAAATACCTACGGGGAGCGTCATAGCGGCGCTCTCCGTACAAGTTGGCAAGCAGTGTCTTGCCGGGAGGCGTCTTGGCGTCCTGGCGCGGAGGACGATCTCTCGTCGAAACTGCCCTCCGAAGAGCACAGCGGGTCAAAGGGGCACGCGACAACGATGAGGGGGAACGTGAGGGAAGCACCAGCTCGGGATAGGGCGCGAAGAGAACTATGCACATGCACCGTTCCTGGTAAGGCCCATCCTTGACCCAGGATCGGTGCATATGCCTTCCTGGCCAAGGTAGGAGGGCGTATGCACCGATCCTGGGCTCAGGATGGGCCTGGCCAGAATCGGTGTATGTGCATAATTTTTTTTCCTCTGTCGGGAGGGGAAACATCAACCTGGAATCGACGACACGTCGCCGACAGATCGACCCGAGGCCCCCGCTAGCGAGTCCGCACGCTCCTGGGCGGGGGGAGCTATCGGGCCCCTTATCGGCGCTCCATGGGCCCTGGGGGGTCGAGGCATCCCCCCGGAGCCATCCCCCTGGTAGGTTTGGGGGTCTTCACTCCTCCTCCTCCTCCTCCTCCTCCTCCTCCTCCTCCTCCTCCTCCTCCTCCTCCTCCTCCTCCTCCTCCTCCTCCTCCTCCTCCTCCTCCTCCTCCTCCTCCTCCTCCTCCTCCTCCTCCTCCTCCTCCTCCTCCTCCTCCTCCTCCTCCTCCTCCTCCTCGCCGGCCGGCCCCTCCAGCGGCCGTTCGGGACGATCCCGGCACCCCCTCGAGGGTGCCCTGGCGTTCCCAGGGCCGGCTCTTCGTCCTGAGCGGTCCTTTCTGCTCCACGGCCCCGAAGCCCGGCGAGGGCCCCCGGAGGCCGAAAACAGACAGAAGCTGCCCACCCAAACTTTCCTGGAACGTCGGATCTCTGGGGCGAGAGAACGGCAGCAAAGGCAGCGACGGTGGCGGCGGCGGCCGCGGCGGGGGCGGCGGCAGCACGTGCAAAGAGAGAGGGAACCCACGAGCGGCGGCGGCTCCTGCACGATCCTCCGGAGCTCCTGGGCACGCCCCCCGCTGCCCTCAGCCCTGAGACGCCCCAGCGGCAGGGAATCTGGCCGCCCTTCCCCGCGCAAGCGAGCGCAGGACGCTCCATCCCTTTCAGTCCTGACGGCGCTCATGCCCAGTGCTGTCGACCTCGGTTCATTACCAGCCTGGAACATAGCCCTATCCCCAAGCTGGGCATCGCCTCATCACGATGCCAATCTTAGGGATTCCCTTCGTTTTTGAGGGCGCACCCCAAGATTGGCATGGCCTTTTGGCGTGTCAATCCCAGGGATAGGGATATAAGTTCGAGGCTGGTGAGTTCCTCTCCCCAGCACCGAGACGGCTGCAGAAGACCCTGCCAAGGAGCAGCAAGAGCCTCTGCTGCCGTCAGCGGCCACCGGGATCCGAGCAGCGCCCGAGCGACGGCGGGACACCTCCGCGGCGAAGCGAGCCACCGCGGCACGGGGAAGCAGACAGGGACGGGAGGGGGCTGGAAGGGAGAGAGCGCCGCAGGCGGCGGACCACGCCCAGAACATGACTGCCTACCAGACCACCCCAGCCCAACCCGAACACCCGAATTTCGGGTTGGGGGGGGGGTAAGGGTTCCACATGTGCTGTTTCGATGCTTCCCGACCCCCCCCCCCACTGGAAATCGAGGGTAGATCTGAGCCTTCGGGTCGGGTTGGGGTGGTCTGGCGGGTGGTGATCGAACAGGAAGCCCGTGAACGCGCGTGCCCGAGAACGGGCTTCCGGGCAGCCGACCGGGAAGCGGCGAAGGCACGCCAGGGACAGCCGAACCAGGGAGCGGCAAGTCGATGGGAAGCGGCAGCAAGAGGCACAGCGGGGACTGGGGCCACGTTGGGGGGCCCCAAACATCCGTGCGGTGCAAGGACCAGCAGCGACCTCGAGATCCGCCAAGACCTCACCGCAGGCTCCGTCACCGGACGATTTTGGGGACCTCGGAGGCCCCAGTCGTCAGAGACGTCCTCGGAGGACGACCCCGAGTCCCAAATCCCGAATCCCCATTGACTCACCACACGGCGTGGGCACCACGCGCGAAGTGCAGCCTCTCCCCATGGAGGGTCGGAGGCGGGCGGGGCGTGGACCCCCGAGGCACCCTCTGCGCTCTCACCCTGCGGGGGGGGCACCCCGTCGAGGCACGCGGGGTGCACCGCAAAAAGCCGGGCCAAGGATCGTGCACCCCGCCCTGGGCGCATGCATCCGCCAAATGCGCCTCCACGCGGCCCTCCGTCCGCTCCTGTTCACGGGACTGCGTCCTTGTCCCTCGTGCTCAGTCCTCCTCCTCCTCCTGCTCCTCCCCCTCCTCATCCTCCTCCTCATCCTCCTCCTCTTCCTCGTCCTCTTCCTCCTCCACCCCCTCTTCCTCCTCCTTGTCATCCTCACGCTCCTCCTGCTATCCATCCCCCACACTTGCTACTTTCTTGTCCTCTATGGTCTCCTGCTCGCACTCCTGCTCCTGCTCACTGCTCATGCTGTTCCAAAGGCGTGGTTATATACACCACCGTATTGGTGGCAACGTGTTGCAAACAAAATCCGCGGGCCCCCTTGCGGGGCCACCAGGCTGTAGGCAGAGAATGTGCTGTTCCCTGTACCAGTTGCAGCTTCCAGTTTCCACTGTTGAAGTTCTGCTTCTTGCTGCTTGCTGTTCCTTGTTGATGAACGCGCGAGGGGGGGGGGGGAGCCCAAACCAGCAGAACTACGCCCTGGGAGGGTTCTCAGAAGTTCTGGGGAGGTAAAAATTGACACCCCTCACGCAGATCCGCAGGGCCAGGGTCCGAAAACACAAGGGATTTGCAACATGTCTGAAATTCGGTGGCGCCCCTCACACAGATCGGCGGGGTCAGGGTCTCAAAACAAATGGGATTTCTCACATGTCTAAAATTCGGTATCACCCTTACGCAGATCGGCGGGGTCAGGCTCCAAAATACATGGGATTTGCCACATTCCTTAAATTCGGTGGCACCCCTCACGCAGATCGGCGGGGTCAGGGTCCAAAAACATAAGGGATGTGTCACATTTCTGAAATTCGGTGGCACCCCTCATGCAAATCGGCGGGGTCAGGGTCCAGAAACAAACAGGTCCCGGCACTGCTTCACGGCGGCGCCCAGACCTCATGATTTAGCTTTTGCATCTCCCATTATCCGAGACAGGGGGCCGGCGGCATGGGGCGAAGCCCTTACGGACGAATTAAAAATTCCGAACAACTGCAATAATTTTCGAAGTGCTGCAATCGCCGCTGAAGGGTGCGCGCCCGATACACCGCTTGCAAGTACCCCACCCATGGTGTGCGCGGGCCCGTGGACAAGCGCGCGCTTGCATTACGGGCGCCCCAAGAATGTCGCAGCGGCGATGCTTTCAAGGCGCAGGCTGTCAAGATGAGCAAATAGTTGCAGGCGCACCCACCTGGGCCACTCAAAAAGTAGCTGGTGCACTACGAACTGTCAATACCACTGATCGGTGTATCAAATGACTGGCCCGTCGCGTCGATGGCTAAATCCTTTTATGCGTTGCCGCCGAGAAGTGTTATCCACCGATCAGGCGAGGCACGCTGCGCCTCGTTCCCCAGAGTGATGATGATTAGCACAAAGAGAAGGCCCCTAACCCTTTTGGAGGGGACATAAGCCGAACGTAGAGAGGCAAAAATATCAGGGATAGAGGATCATTCTGTAGATGTACCAGACCAAACCGCCCAGATGTATGATCCCGAATGCGAAGAGAAAGAGGTTCTCTTGTTCGCTATGAAATCGAAACCCCCGGACCCCCACATGTAGCGGTGCGCGGGCCTGCGCATGTCGAAGTCTGGCGCGGGAGAGAGAGAGAGAGAGAGAGAGACAACATCGCCCCTGTTCTGCGAGAAATGGCCAGCTCTGGAACGGGCGGCGCTCGCATCACCAGCGCCCCAAGCTTTGCGCTGGCAGCAGTCTCAAGAAATAACAAGCGTCGAACGAAAGACTAGATGAGAGATACACATTGGGATATATTGGTTGTAGATTTGCCCCTTCGAAACTTGTCGCTGATCGTCATGTCCCATTATCATAGTCATCACCGGCAGTTCGGCCCAACAAGCGAGGGCCCAGGGAGGCCGCAGAAGCGCTGAGGCGCGGGGCAGCGCTCAGCAAAAAAGGGCAAGGCAGAGCCCGAGGAGACAAAGCTCGCAAAGCCAAGTTCCCAGATGACCGCCGCCGCGATTGCGCTACGTAGCGATCAGCCGCAGCTGTGGGGAGGCTCCCCTTATTCAAAGCGACTGCCCACCACGGAGGACAATCGATCCCAACGCAGCCTCAAGGCGGACGGGGCGAATGAGCTACCTCGCCCGAACCTGAGCCCACGCGGGCTGCAATTGATGAGCGCGGTGGCCGCGTAGATGTCCAGAATGAACTGCGCGGCGCGTGCCGGATGGCAGCCCCCTGGCGCGCGACGCGGCGGCCGCGAGCGGTCGCGGGGCCTTGCGCCAGCACGCTGGGGCCCGCCGAGAAGCTGCAGAGACAGCCGGGGCGCAGGAGGCAAGGAGAATAAGAGAAGTCACCTGAGGTTCCTACTGCTCCTCCTGCTCCTCCTCCTCCTCCTCCTCCTCGTCCTCCTGCTGCTCCTCCTGCTCCTCTTCCTCTTCCTCCTCCTCCTCCTCTTCCTCCTCCTGTTCCTCCTGCTCCTCCTGCTCCCCCTCCTCCTCTTCCTCCTCCTCCTCCTCCTCTTCCTCCTCCTCCTCCATTTCCTGCGACCGCTCCCGAGCTAATGAGTCGAGCCTCTCCTCCCTCTCGAGGGCAGCAGCGGCCGCGCCCCTGACCCAAAATACCGTCCCCGCTGGAAATCAGCCGCTCCTGCTCCTCCGTCACCTGGCGCGTTGCCACGTTGTCTATCACCACCTCTTCGGTCGCTCCGGCACCACCTCCATACGAAAGTCCCAGTGGAGCGGCTCCCTGATGAGTGGTGGAAAACGCAGGAGTAGTAGGAACGGGACGAGAAGCGATACAAATGCGTAAGAGACATAACATCAAAATGCGCCGATCTTCTAGCAAGGGCGCATGGGCAGCCCTTTGACGCTCATGCATCCCAAGGGTACGCACACGCACGTGCATGTCACGGTATCACGATGCGGGTCAAACTTAGAAAACAAAAAGCAATGAGCGTTGCCAGCGTTGCCAGCTATATCCGCCACCGCACGTGCAGCGGTTTGAGAGCGCTGGGCACTCGCGCCGTTGTCAGCGTCACTTCCTGCGAGCCTGTCTTCTCCCCCCCACCGCGGTGCACGACGCACCGAGCCCCTCCTCCTCCTCCTCCTCCTCCTCCTCCTCCTCTTCTGTCTCCCCCTCCTCTTCATCCTCATCCTCCTCCTACTTATCCTCCTTCTCCTCCTCCTCCTCCTTCTCCTCCTCCTCCTTATTCCAGGGCGTGCTGCGTTTTTTGCCGACACGAGCAAACAAGGGTAAGGTTCTGGATGAAAAATGCGTCGAACACAGCCCCCCCCCGGCGCCCCCCTTCGCCCTCGCATAGCCCACATCCCCCCATGCGCCCGCCCGAGAGCGATGGCGGATCTGCAAAGCAGCATGCTTGTGATTAGATAAGATATCAAACAAGCCAGCGCGCGTTCGACTGTAGGTCTCTCCGCCACTTTAGGACCAATGTGTGGTGCGCGCTTACACGCGCGCCCCGTGCACAAAAGCATGAATTGACAATTTAGCGGCTGCGCCACGCTCTCGCGCGCGAACAAAGGATGGCACTTCTCTTCTCGCGACTTGTCACTTCCTTTGCAATCGTTTTGGGATGGGCTGGTGGGGATACGAGAAGCGTCAAGAATGATGTGACCACGCTGTCCAATCAAGCAAACTCTCCCTGATCGAGACAAGGGACCAGTATATGCCGTTGTATCCGCACCATGGGTTCTCGTGCATGAGCTTCCCCAGTGCCACTGCTGAGGAGGTCGACGATCTTCCTGGGGGTGGTCCACAAGGCCAAAGAGGCGCCTGAAAATACGAGGAGGATACAGAACATTTGGACGAATGCGTTTCAAAACATAATCCCTCGAGACATACAAAAGGACGGCGCCACAGGAATGAACTTACCCTGGCGGCTCGCGGGCCTTGATTACTTGCTTGCAAAAGCGGTGGTACTCCGTCTCCGCCTGGTCATCCCATCATACCAAGCATGCGTCTGGAGACGAAGAGCCCAAAAGCAGAAAACCATACAAAAAACGTCCGCGTAGAACGTAAACAACGTTGGACCCTGCGACCTCGTGAAAAGTAGGCAGGTGCCGTGGGAAATTCTGGGATCAACAGCGGCCCGCATTGAAAGCTTGACAAATATGGGGGGCATCTGCAATCTGTGGCTGCGGAAATGTAAAAACATATGCCGCTGGAATCAGGGAAGACTGGGCGAACTGAAAATTATCTAGACTTGGGCATATACTGTCTCAGACCACTCCGACAAAACTAGATTCACCTTCAAATTGACCACATGGAGCTTCGGTGGTCGCCCTGCACGAATGGCTCAGAGCCTCAGAGATAATCCGAGCAGTCGCACAAAATGAAACTGCACGACACAGGCCAACTTTTTACCCATCGCAGCCCAGGCCTCCCGATATTCCTGCCCACGGGATCGGAACAGAAAGGGTTCGGCCACTTCGGCAGAGGCGTCAAAAGTGCACCCCTGGTAGAAGCACCCAGAACTCCGACGTCGCAATTTTTCGCAACGAGGACCCCAGGAAATCTGGATCCCGTCTCCAGGACCGGTTCTTCGTTCCAGTTGTGCTTGACGGCCCTGGGGCCAGCTGAAAATTGCCCGAACCGTCCGTCGTGACTTCTTCACCACGAGAGGGCGCGGGCGCGCTGCCCCTTGCTTCCATCGCCCCCCGAAAGAGAACGGCCCGATCCTCACTTCCGTCACCTCGTCGCCTTCCATCTTCCCCCTCTGCTGGTCCGCACGTGGTGGATTCCAGAAACCCTGCATCCCAACAGACTGCCGTCTCTCAGGAGCGCATTTTCGCATCCGCCCGCTTCCGCTGGCCCTCCGCCGGCGGCGCCCCCGCTCTGCTTCCGCCGCCCCCAGGCCCGCCGTCCGCCGCCCTCCGCCGAGGGCCAGATGCCAACCCCGTCGATCCTCATGGCCTGGCCCAAAACTGCCAGTGAAATAGCCCCAACACCCTGACTTACAACTGTCACCGAAATCCTTACCCCCGGAAGTAGAACTGTCGTTTAACGGCTTTGGTGATTCAGCTGTCAGTTCAGTCAGTCGGTCAGTTAGTCCGTCAGTCAGTCAGTCAGTCTACTTCCCGAAAATCAAATTACGGGCTGCGCCCGTAAATCATCATCATCATCATCATCATCATCATCATCATCATCATCATCATCATCATCATCATCATCATCATCATCATCATCATCATCATCATCATCACAATAATCATCATCATGAGCAGCAGGAGCAGCAGGAGCAGCAGCAGCAGCAACAGCAACAGCATCATGACTCTCCGAAGCCAGGAGACACAAGATGTGACGCGTGACGGTCTGCAATGCCCCCTCGAACAGTCACCACCCAGAATGCTGGGATGGCACGGTGGCGGGACTTGCAGCAATTAGCTGGATCATGCTGACATCAGTTGGAGCTGGCTAGTGGGCCGAGGTGGCCCAGCTCTGGCTCCAGCCAACGAAAGGGGGAGAAAGAAGCCTGGACGCGGCTGGAAAAACTAGTCAGCCTCGACCCCAGCATGGGTACAGGCACCGGTTTCGAGCCGACTTGTCTTGGCCTCCCCCCCTGGACCGATTTTCTCAGGGCCCGTCCAGCGCAGAACGGCTGGCAACTTCCACGACATCAGAGTCAAGAAGAATTCTGTCGGACCCCAGAAGCCTGCTGTCGCGGATCTCCACGAACTGCACGTCCACGTCCAGGTCCACGCGCCAGCTCTCGCTCTCGCGTATGGCAAAGAGCTCCTCGATCGCCCTGCGCAGAGGCTGGATGCGCTGGGACACAATTTTCGTGCGGCCAGAAGGGATTGATACTATTCCCCGAGTGCCTAAATATGTGTCTTCCGCTTTCGGAACGCGCTTCTCAAATCCGCCATCGTGTTTTCAGCACGCAGTGGAAGGCTCCAAGGCCCATGCAAACCTGAGAGGTAAAAGGCGGGCAAAATTCTCAGAGACCCGGACCTCTGGTTACACGGGAACTTCCTGGAATTCCTGGGGTGTGTTGCGTCAGCCCTCTGTAAGCTCAGCCGGCCCAAGACGAACTGTTTCACCAGCAAAGAGGGCGCCCAGAAGGACAAAGAGGGTCCCAAGAGGCACCGAAGACTATCCAAGAAGGCCACGAATTGCCAACCCATCGCTCTAAGACGCTCAAGATGGCCTCCAAACAGCCCAAGAGGCCCTCAGGACAACTGCAAGAGGCCCCCAGGAGGACCCCGAGAGGCCAAAACCTGTGATTTCCAGCTGGCGCTTGGAAGAGTTAGCAAGCATGTACCCCGAACAGTGCGTCATTGCACTGCGGAGGTGAAAGCTGTGCGGTGTAAGCTATGTGGTGAGAGCTCTGTCGTGTATGCTATCTTGTGTGAGCTATGGAGGTGTAAGCTGTGCGGAGCAAGCTATGCGGAGTTAGCTATCTAGCGCAAGCTAGGCGGTGCGAACTGGAGGTGAAAGCTACGGGGCGTAAGCTGTGTGATGTGATTTTGTGCAGGCCATGCGGTGTAAGCCATTTGGCGCACGCCATCCGGTGAAAAGTGCGTCGCGTAGGCTCAGAGCACGGGGCGCCCACGAGGCGCACACGAGACGGCACGGGCGGCAACGCGTCGCAACCTCGGGTAACCCACTCAGCGCACGGGGCGCCGACGAGGCACAGGCGGCACCGTGGCGCAACCTCGAGATACTCACCTGGCGAACGTGGCGCCCGCGAGGCGCCCACGAGGCCGTACGGGCGGCAACATGGTTAAACCACACAAAACCCACCCAGAGCACACGAGCCGGCATGGGCGGCAACGCGGCGAAAACCTGGCAAACCCATCCGCTTAAGAAACCGAAGTAAGAACCCCTGAGTGCAAGCACCGCTTGGGGAATTTGCGCTCTCGCCGATTGGAGCTTTCGACACTGCATGACGGCCCGAGAAGCCCCCAAGATCGTCCCAATAGGGCTCTCAGGCGGCCCGAGAAGGCCCCGAGACGGCTCAAGTGGTCCTGAAGACGGCCGAAGACTGCCCCAAGAGGGGCCAAGGAGAGACCAGAGGGGGAACACGAACCGGCATGTCGAGCCCTCCGCCCCAAGATGCCCCCAGAGACAGAGGCCCCCGAGAGGCCCCAAGGCACCCCAAAACCGCCTCCACGAGGCTCCCGAGTGGCCCCCCAAGGGATTCCTACAGGCATCAGGAGACTTCTGACCTACAGCCCAAGCACCGTGGTGAGATGGGCGGAAGATCACGACCGTGTCTAGACCTACCTCTCTCTCTCTATATATATGTGTATATATATATATATATACACATCGGTGTGCATACATATATATATATATATACACACACACACACACTGGAACCCCGAGCGCGCTTCGCCCGCGCGAGCTGAGATTCTAGCAAGCCCCAGGCCGTAACAAGTTCACAGATCCTCTGGGGTAGTTATCCACAAATGGCTCGAACATGAAGTACACCGAAGCGTCAAAAAAGACGCGGGTCGAACAAGTATCAATTACAGACAATGGCACACACATGCTATCCAATGCGAGCCAATGAAAAGCAACGAATGGAATAGAGCACCCGCAATGACACTGCAATGTAACGCAGTGCCATGGACACCAGATGCGAGCGGCATGCAATGAGAAGCATTGCAAGCAAAAGCTTGCAAATCAAATGAAAGGCAAGGCAATGCGATGCAATACAACTAAATGCAAAGCAAGGCAATGCTCACCAGAACGATGCCGTTTGCGGAGCCATGCCTGTGCACACCCGTCGGGAAACAGCCAAACGAAATACAATGCAACACGATGCACAATAAATCAAGAGGCCGTACGAACCCGAGGGTTCGGGAACCTCAAAGATCCCAAGGATAAGGTGTACAAAATAAGTGGTGGATGTCCCTATTTCGCCGTCTGTAAACCTCCATGTGACGCTAGCGCACCAGCTCGTCCTTCCCCTCGTCCGCCTCCTCCTCCTCCCTCTCGCAATCGATCCTCCGGCTGCTCGACTGGCCTCAGCCAGCCACCGTTCAGATTGCCACGCAGACTTCTTACGGGGACAAGGGGAAGAAACGACTTTCCCCCCCCACACAAGGCTGCCTGCTGGGCAATAACTGTCACAGGTAGCCCCTGGTCCATCGGCCACGCGGCCGGGACAAGCTGTATGCTTTCTAAGATGGCCTTAGCGGGCAGGATTTGTCCGCTCGCATGCGGTGGTACTCTGGAAGGCACCTCAGACCCTAATCCCCTGAAGCCTAGAGCATTATCCGTGGGATATGCCTGTCCACCTCTGGCTTTCCCTTATCCCACTTGGTGGGATTGTGTTGCAGCTATTTCAATCCCTTTCTTCAGGCACAAGGCCTAATCTGGCCTACTCTGGGCCTGGCAGCACTTTCAAATTCTAGGCGATCGTCCCTTCCCGCACTGTCCCTTTCAGATCTGCGTTTGCGCTGTCATCTGTCTCAATATCCCCGGGGTGCTAGCGGCAACGCCGCCTTCCAAAGATGCATTGCGAGGTGCTCACTATCTGGCTCAAAGCTTCAGCTTTCTGGCATCGCGCTGGAAAATGATCCTGGACAAAACGCGTGGTGAGACTGCCCATAAACATGTGTATATATATATATATACACATATGTACTAGAACCACGCGCGCGCTTCGCGACCGCTCAGGTTCTAGTCGCGCTCGAGGATCTATCATCACAAATTGCCGTTGGGTGCTGCCAGGTTGGGGAAACCCCTTCAGGTTGGTCGTGAAACCTGCCGCCATTGGATATGGTAAACCAAAACTGCACGTAAAAAGGTCCTTGGACGCTTCTACGACGCGTCATCTGGGTCTGAAAGAGATTACAAGGAGAACCGGACTGCCCGAATCTGGCTCCGCATTGCCCAATGCCCCAGGGCCGGGACCTTCCGTGTATGTATGTACTGACATACGCGCAAACATACAGTATACAACAAAATCTGCCTCTGTCTGGTTGTCTATAGATGTTTGCTTGTATGTCTATATCTATTAATATATATATATATATATATATATATGTGTGTGTGTATCGACCAAATTATGTGTATAAAATATACACATATAGACTGGCCTTCGGAGCATTCCGTCACGGTGCCTGGGCTGTGTGTCAGTGGCCCCTTGGGTGTTCGCTGGTACCTCGTGGGGGGCCTCTCGGGAATCTCGTCGAGGGCGGCTGTAAAGCGTCTTGGGGGCCGTTTGGGGGTTTCTTGGGACCTCTTTCGGGCCTCTTGGGGGCCTCTTGGGACATCTTCGGGGGCCTCTTGGAAACCTCGAGCCGCCTCGTCGGTGCCTCTTTGGCCTCCTGAGTGCCTGGGGGGGGGCGGAAGGCTGGAATTGTGGGTTTGAGTTCCCCCTCTTGGGGCCCTCTCGGGCCGCTCTGGGGCCCCTATTTGACTGGCTTGAGGGGCATCTTGGGCCGTCCTGGGGCCCTCTCGAGTCATCTTGGGGCTCCCGAGAGGTCTCTGACTCCGTCTTGGGGCTTTTTTGATCACCTATCCGTTCGGGAAAATCTTGGGCGCCTCTTGAGCTGCCTAAGAGCGTTGGAAGCCCGAAGCGGTAAGAACGCAAAAATCCTTCAAACACCTCAGGGCAATCTATAATTTTGGCCTCTTGGGGCTCTCGTCGGGGTCCTCTTGGAGCCCTTTTGGGAAGCTTCTTCGGCCGCCCGAAACCCCTGGAGACCGTCGTCGTGGTGGATCAGGGCAGTCTTGGGCTGCAGGATCGGCTAGCTGATCGCTCCGGGAGCCGATTCGCAGCCCTCCAACAACGGGCCCTGCCCCGAAACGCCCCGGAAAGGCTCGCCCCCTCCCCCCCCTGGACTAAAAAGGGGACCTGGTGAAGTGGAGTTTTGAAAAAATGTGCCGCCCTGTGGCCGGGGACCCAGTTCCCCGTCATATGATATACGTTCTGGGGTTCTACACCCGTGGCTTGTTTGGAGCTATTTGGGGCCGTCTGGGACCCTTTGAGGGTCCAGCGGAGCTTTCCTTGAGCTCCAAATGATGTCCTCGGGCCTCACCAGGGCCCCAAACAGGCTCGGAACATTCCTCACACAGAGGTCCCAGAGGGCCGCGTGAAGTAGATACCAACTCAGGGCCCGCTGGTACCTCATCGCCGGGGCCTTTCTGGAGCCCTCTTGGGGCCCTCTTGGGCCATGTTGGGCGCGTCCGCGCCCCCCTTGGAACTCTCTTGGCCCGTCTGGGAGCCCACTTTGGGGCGTCGTGGGAACCCTCTTGGCCTTGGGCCCATCTTGGGAACATCGTGGGCCGTCTCAACACATCCGAACATCCAACAGGTGAAAGCGGAACAACTGGAAAAACAAGGAACAACAGATTGCCCGGTCTACGACGACGACGACGACGACGACGACGACGACGACGACGACGACGACGACGACGACGACGACGACGACGACGACGACGACGACGACGACGACGACGACGACGACGACGACGACGACGACGACGACGACGACGACTACGACGACGACGACGACGACGACGACTACTACGACGACGACTACTACTACTACTACTAACTACTACTAGACTACTACTACTACTACTACTAAAACTACTACTACTACTACTACTACTACTACTACTACCACTACTACTACTAACGACTACTGATACTATACTACTACTACTACTACTACTACACTACTACTACTACTACTACTACTACTACTACTACTACTACGACTACTACTAGTACTACTACTACTACTACTACTACTACTACTACTACTACTACTACTACTACTACTA